GGGGGGGGGATGATGGCTATGGAGGGGTGGGTTGGAGTGAAGATCAACTGTGTTGAAGGGTAGGGAGGACACAATCAATGTAGAATGTCAGAAGTGGAGCCTGTTTTTCTAATTTTTTGAGAAATTTCATTTTTCTCATCTTTAAGGTGTTTGTTTTCCTAAAAAAAAATATTTTAAAAATATTTAACCAACTGAACATGAAAAAAAACTTTTTGGCCTTGTGGTCCTGTCAATCAATAAGGATTGTTGTAGGAGTTTATAACTATATAGACTTGGGGTAAAGCCAAGTTTGTTCTGATATTATTTGAAATTGAATAATTTTTTTCTTTCGATATATATACTTTGAATCTAATCTTACCCATCTGTTAGGAAAAAGTCTTGTTTTTACCTTTAATTCCTAACGTTTAACAAAGATTGATTTTGAACTGTAATTAAAAGTAGATGAATAAGTTTAAACCTTTTCCTTTGAAGTATTTCGACAAGTGGAGTACATTCATTATATTTTGAAGCTTTATCAATGAAAAGAGAGGATATGTGACGATCTAACTATTAACGACAAAGATATGAATGAACCAATATAACTGATGGTAAAATTGAGCAATTTCAAATAATATAAATGCAAAATTTGACCCTTTTTTCTTGTACTTGAAAGGATTACTTCACCCATATTCACCACCTTAAAGATTTTGTATTTTTTTCACCTTGAAGTTCTAAGCTAGTATATATTCCACTTTGGATTATTTAATTGAATGACTTGCACATTAATTAATACTTTTGAGCATTTGTCTATTGGTTGATCAAATTTGCTAGCAAAAGTTATAAACAAATATTGGCTAGCTATGAGTGATAGGATTTCGTGAGCAATCGTCATGACTACGTTTTTTCATAGTGTAAATTAATTAGTACAAGATTTTATGACATAATCAAGTGAGTATTATGTATGAATAAAGGTACTACATATAATGAGATATTATTTTAGGTAACTATAACAAAAACAACTTTTAGCAGTAATAAATGTGCACCGAGTACTAAAGACTTTACTGACATTACTTAATTGTCATTGGATCAAAAGTCGCTAAACACTTTAGAAACATCTAAAAAAGTGTTAATTGCCTCTAAAATATATTTAGTGACAATTAAGTTATTACTATTAATTATACAAAGTCCAATTGTACTTCTTTTCCATTTTTTTTTTTTCCTTTTTATGATTTATATTCCTTAGCCGCCACACTACTGTTTTTAAGACACTTAAGAGGATAAAGAGGAACCAAAATTAAGGGACCAATCTACATCTATAGTGGCCACTCTATATTTTCCTAACTAATCAACTCAATATAGTAGCTATCGTAAGGATTTAAGTTATATACGTTTGTAATGTACATTTTATATCATATTTGGTCGCAACTGATCATCAAGAAGTGTGATAGGATGATTGTAACTTCTTTATCATATCCGTAATATATAAGAGGTCTCAGATTTAAACCAAAAACTTTTAATAATAAATAACAACACACCCTTCTTAAATTGGTCATGTATATATTGCTTTAATCTAAATTGATAAAACAAAGTACATTTTAGATACCAGATGATTCATAAAAATGAAGAGTATCTTGGAGAATTTTCGTATGATAAGGTTAGAAGCATTATACAAACACATTAGACCTGGTGATTCCTTGCTCTTTGATTTGTGATTTATCGATTACTAAATTAATGAAGAATATAACCTCTAAAATTTACTATTTAATCGATCAACATGAGATTCATCCTCTATTAGATCAAAGATATTTTTTTAAAAATCGGATTATAAAATTAAATTGTGAAACATTAAATTGGTACAATGACATTGAACACTTAACTGATTTAAAATACTCAACGTGAAAGTGATTAAAAGTGATAATAAAATATTTTTACATTAGACAGAGTAAGCAAAGATATTTATTGTTGTCGATAGTGGAAATTAAAAATATTTAATTATTAGTAGAGAATAATTATTTAATAAGCAATTAAATCGTAAAGTGTCATTAATTGGAGTAACGCGTGATTGAATTATATTATAAAGTGCCAAAAATAATGTACTTGTCAAGTTTAATTAGTTCTTAACCCCA